TAGGCTGCAGCCCCTGCTGCAATGGGCTGTCATAAGCTACTATGAAAGGCCGGCAGCCAGTGTGAGCAGCCGGTAGCTGACATGAGCTGCCAAGAGCCGCCGTGAGTGGCCGTCCAGAGGCCGGTGACCAATCTGCCTCACCCGGGAAGAGCGCAATGACAATACCAACATGGGCCAGTGAAGTGACGTCCTCCACAACTAGGCTGAAGAACAAAAGGACAGCAATTTGTCTGTTCCCCTTCCCCCAATTCCCCAATAAAATCTTAAAAAAAAAAAGATGAGTAGAACCATTGCTCCTCTAGGACTTCTCAGCCGCCCCTGCCCTTGGCTCTTGGCCTCAGAGGGCCTCTCACGGCCCTTTAGGAGCTACTGGTGGGATTTCTCGGTGGCACAAGATAACTCTTGGTGAGCAGAAGCCACTTATGTTCTCCATGTCTTAGTCACAGACTGCATAAACCTTGGTACTCCACCCCGCTTCCAGAGAGGTGGGCAATGTTCCTTTCCCTGCAAACGCACAAGTTAGGCTTCCAGAACTCTCCCTTTAGGCACAAGGCCTCCCTCCCTTCAGGTCTCCTTACTTCTCAGTCATGGTCCCAAATTTTTTCTCGATGAGGTGCTTGTGTTTAGTGTGTTCACTCATCACCTCTTCAGGCTCTGGGTGTAGAGAAAGAAGGGGGAGGTCAAGGAGATGCCTGATTGAAAGGGGGTGCAGGAAACCCAATGTGTTATGGAGATATTCAAACAGAGGCTAGCAAATTTTTGTCCAGGATGCCCTTGAAGAGGTTGCTTCTCCAGGCGTGAAGTGTGTAGCAGTTTTGTTTGTTCATTTGCCTGTCCAACATCCAATCCCTCTTCCTCTGGTGACAGTCTTCCAATTTTCCTACCCCTTTTAGGTCCATGCTGATTAGCTGGGGTTGACTCCACCCCAGCTCCAAGGATATGTGACTCAGGCCTGGCCAATCGAAACAGCTTTTTGGGGGGTTGGGGTGGGGGCCTACGGTGGTTGGTTCAGAAATAGGCATGTGATCAATTGGAACAAAGGAGACTCATTTCTGGGACTTTGTTGGAACTTCTGGGAGAAGAGGGACTCTGCTGGGAGTTCCAGGGATGGCTAAACTATGAGGATTTGGGATTGGAGTTGCAGATGGCCGTTTTACCAGCACAGGGAGCTGCTGCCCTAAAGCACAAAACCATGTAGAGGGCTACAGAGCAGGGAGATGGAAGGAGACCAAATCAGACCATCATTCAAGTCCTGGATCCAGCCATTCCCCAAAGCCCATGCACCCTCAATTTGCTAAGTAATTTGAATCAATGAATTCCTCTTTTTGCTTAAGTCTTTTTGCAGTGAGTGTCCGTGATGAAGAGGGCAGGTGAAGGACCAGGTGACCCCTGAGGACCCTTAGTCCTATGGTGTTAAAGATCCTAAGAGCAGGATTCTGGGGCTCAGATTCTAAAGTTCTGAAGATCGTTAAGCAGGAAGCAAAGCAATTGGCTCAAAATCAATTCACCAAGAAAGTCAGGTGTGTAAAAATGAACACGTACAGGAAACTTCATTTTTGTAGTCTCTCAATTCACTTGGAGTGACTCTGGATAAGTGTGTATATGACCTTGACAAACCCCTCAAAATCAGTCGAAACCATCCCATGTAAAACCACTTCTATAAACTTTATAGGTTATTAACAGAAAGGGGTGTTTGGGGAATCATAATTTGGCTAATTAGTCGTTTTGCCAGTGGGTGTTTCAAGAATTGGCTATCAGTTTAATTGGCTTTTAGAGAATTGTCGTAGTGCCCTTTGGATCAAAGTTCTAAGCTCCGAAAGTTCTCCTGAGTCTCAGACTCTAAAACTGAGCCTGAAATCCTTTGTTTGACTGTGGAAGGAGAGGAGGGCTGATACCTGCTCTGTTGAGCTCCGTCAGCGAGTCATCCAGCAGCTTCTCATGGATCCGGGCAGCCTTCTGAGAAGAGGAGGCCTTGGTCCTGTCAGAGTCCCATGCCTGCCCGTCCCTGGAGCAGCCTCTGTGCCCCCTCCTCTGTTTCCCTGGATTGGTCTACCTGCCCCCTGCCCTCGGTACCTCCTGCTTCACTTTCTCCAGGCCTTTGAGCAGTGCCATCTGGAAGTTATCCACCAGGACGGCAATCACTAGGCTGGAGGTGGGGGCACAGTGGGGTGCTCTCAAGGAGGAGGCTGCGGGAGAGGCCCTGCACCCTTCTCTGGGTTCATTGTGGCATGACCAGGGTGAGAGGGCTGGGGAGAGGCTGCCCAGGGGTTGGTGGGGGAGGGGAGTGAAGCTGGGGAGCAGAGCAGGGGCGGGGTCCTTACTTGAGGAAGATGAAGTACTGGATGATGATGTAAATCATGAGAATGGGTATGATGTACCAGGCGCCTGGGAAAGAAGGGGTCGTTCCAGCTGGGAGTTCCTTGCCGGCCCTTACCTCACGGCTGCCAGCAAGCATCAGAAGCCCCACTTTACAGATGGGGTAACTGAGCCCCCAGGGTCTGTCCACCCAGCCAGCCTAGGGGCCTTCCCCACCCTGGGCTCGGCTGTCCAGGTAGATGAGGGACCAGTCGTCCAGGGTGAGCAAGGTGAAGAGGGTGAAGATGGTGGTGAAGATGTTCTGGAAGCGCTTGGGGTCAGAATGGCGGAACAGTGCCCGGAGCACCACAGAGAAGAGGACTGGCTGTTCAGGGCCAAACCAGGCTCCCAGGGCCCATTTTACCATGTCCCCCTGCCCCTGTTCCCTGATGCCCCCCACCAACAGCACCTCAGACTCCCACCCCAGTCCCCCCAACCCCAGCACAGGATACAGAGGCAGGTAAACATGAGGATGAGGATGGCGGTGATGGACGGCAAGGACCGCACCAGGGTCCCAGCCACTTCCTGGAGACTGGTCAGGAAGCTGTGGGCAGAGGTTGGGAGGGAGGCGGAGTCAGCATGGGCGGAGGCCTGTGTCCAGGTGCCAGAGCTGGCGCTGAAGGCAGGAGGTCTCCCTGATTTGCTAGTGACTTAGAAGAGTCCAAGCCCCTCTCTGGAAAATGAAGAGAATGATCAGCTGGAAGCTTATCGGAAGCGGGCTGGAGTCTGCAACCTCCCCCTTCTCCATCCCTGGATCAGGTCACACACAGCACACTCCTTGGGAGTCCAGGCCTGTGTCCCCTCTTCCTTCAGAGTCCCCATACCGGGGTGGGCAGCTGTGGCCCAGCTGACCTGAGCCTCCGCAGGACCCGAATGGCCCTCAGGGCCCGCAGGCTCTTGAAGACCTTGAAGATCCGGACGACGCTTTGGTTGTAGACAGTACGCCTGAAGGTGCTGGAGTTGATCTGCATGAGCGTGAAGTCCAGCACAGCCATGACCATGATGAAGAAGTCTGAGGGCACAGGGCGCCTGAGTGTAAGGGGCTCCTTCCTGTCCAGGCCCCTAGCGCAGACCCACAGCCCTCCCAACGTCAACATCCCCTGCCCCTGGCCCCTTTTGTCCTCAGCCTCCCCTAGGCAGTTCGGTGGCTCCTACTACACACGCACACACGCATACACGCGCACACACACGCACCCCATCCCCACCCACCCAGTTTATTCCAGGAGTCAGAAAAATACTTGAATCCTAAAGCTGTGATCTTCAGCATAGCTTCCACCATGTAGACGCAGAGGAAAATGGAATCCAAGGCCACGAAGTACCACTCTGCAGGGACACCAGGGGCTTGCTCAAGAACCGGCCCCTCTCTCCTCCTCCCCACGGGAACCCCACACACAACCATTTAGGGAGATCCTGGCTCTGCCCACATGACTGTGTGTCTTAAGTGCTCTGTGCCTCGGTTTTCTTGTCTGTGAAACAGTGATAATAGTAGTCTGCCTAATAGTGTTTTCATGAGCACGAAAGGCATTTAACACAGTAAAATGCTTAAAATGGAGCCTGAACCGGTGCACATGCAAGAAACATCAGCCATTCTTCTTATCCTCTTCTCCTTAGTTTATGTCCTTTCCTTCACCCTGCTCCCCAGGGTTTTAGGGGCCATCTTCTCATAGTTTCCCCTCTTACCCCTTCCGGGACTCCTGGCTTTTCTAGCCCTCCCGGGTTCCCAGCACCCTTCCTGGGTAAAGCAGCATATTTAGAGCAGATGCGCCACCTTGTGGCTATATCTACAAACAGCACATCCTCTAGTTTAGCTGGCCTTTCGGTCTCGGGCTGGTTGACCTCAGCTATCTCTCTGAGCCTCATCTCTAATACTGGGCAATGTCATTTACTTCCCAGAGGTGAGCATCAAATAAGCTAAGTTATAGAAATCACCCGGCACTGAATCGGGCCAACAGGATCAAAACCCTTCTCCACATGAACTGGGCTCCCCAGCTCTTACCGCCCCGGACCTCGACTTCAGCGAAGGTCTGGGCCACAAGCATGACGGTGTTGAGGCAGACGACGAGGAAAATGAAGGCTTCGAAGATCAGAGACTCAGTCAGGTTCCTGAGCATTTTCCGGAAGCCCCAAAGGAGGTGGCTTAATTTTTCCCACAACCAACTGAAGCAGTCTACGCTGTGTGGCTTCTTGTGGGCTCTCTGGGCTCGGCCGGCTATAAGGGGCCAGAAAGTCAAATCTGTATGAGAGGAGGGCATGGGGATCCCAGGCCCTGCTCTCATGTTGGGTTGGGGTTCATCGTCATGCCTGCCTGCTTGCCTGCCATTCACTTACTAAGGTGCTTCTATGTTAGTCCGGCGTTGGTATTGGGGCCCAGGCCTGACCCCTTGAGTGGTAGATGCCAGCCTGTTTGGGATTTGGGGTCTGCTTGAGCACACCTTGAGGGCTCATGCTGCTACACTTCCATGCCTTTCTATACTTGCATGGAAACCCAATCCTCCTCACCACCCCATCCTCTGGGTAAACTCTCCCTCTCCCTTTAAGATTCTGCTGAAATACCTTTCCCTCTTGGGTGCCTTCCCTACCCCCATCCAATTAGACATTCACTCCTCGCTGCTTGTTCTTGAGACTGTTGCCATGTTTACTGAACTACCAAGGGCCAAGTTTGGTGGGTTGTGCACTAACAGCCAAGGTCTCTTCCTGCCCTCAAACAAGGCCCTCATTCAGGCACTGGTTCCCAGTCTCCGTCGTCAAGAGGCTCACAGGTTAGTGTGGAAAATGTGGGCAAACAGAATCCACAGTGTTAAGTGTTCTGACATGGAGGATAGGCCTCCATCACTGGGTGGTTTGGGATTGGATGGTTAAGTGACCACCCCCAGCCTTGGAGCCCCTTGAGGATAGGGTTAGTCTTCCCTGTGCTACTAGGGCCCAGGCAGTCCAGGTGCCCATATTAGACAAGACAAAATGTTTGAGAAGTGAACATGCAAATGAATAAAGCAGTGACCGAATGAACAAACAACTGATGGCCTAAAGAGGTACATAATTCAAGGAATAAAAGGTTGGATGATGAATGGTCAGGTGAGTGAACAGCCAACGGAATATACTTGCAGGCGAGAGTCAAGCCGCATGATCTGTGGAAGGTCAGTGTAGGGCCTGAGTTAGGTCTGGAATCTGGGCCAGGCAGTGGGAGTTGGAGGAGGGGCTAAGACTCACTTTTACGCTTCTGAAATTGCTCGTCTTCTTCAGTGCAGCTTCCCGAGGTTTTAGAGGAGGGATCCTGAGGATGGATTTTGCTGGAGCTCTGGGAGGCATGTGAGTGAACTGCACTGCGGGAACGAGTCCCGCTGAAGGACACGTTCCGCATGTGTGCCACACTAGGTTGGAGGCCTGCTGCATGAGAATAGGCTGAGCCAGCTCCGACCTTGCTGTGGGATTTGTGTGGGCCAGAGGCTTGAGAGTCGCCATGATGGTACTCCCCATAGCGCTGATCACTACGGAGGTAATCATGATGACGTGCCCCGTGGTGGTGCTCTCTTTGGTGGTCATTGCTGCGGTGGCCATGGTGGTGCTCACTGTGGTAGTGAGGCATGCCTTGAGGGTTGGACCCTTCATAGGAATTGTGGGAATAGGTCTCGCCATGATGAAGACGCCTTTTGTGGTGGTGGGCTTGATGGTGATGATGCCCACTGTCATCGTAAGCATCATAGTGATGGGGTCCATCGTGGTGATGTGCCTCACTGTCGTGGTAGGATTCTGTATGATGGTAAGGTTCATGGAGCACATTATGGTGGAAAACCTCCCTATGGTAGTGAGACCCACCATGGTGGTGGGGCCTACCATGGTGGTAGGACTTACTGAGGTACTGGGGCGCATCATGGTGGTCAGACTCACTATGGTGGTGAGCCCTATCGTGATGTCTCCTGTTACCATGGTGGTGATCATCATCAAAGTAGTCCTTATCATAGGAATGGTGGGAGAGGGCAGTGCCTTGAGAAGGATCCAGGGCAAAGGATGTGGACTGTTGGGCTCCACCATGATGTGGGGAGTGGTGGTGGTGGGGGGAGTGATGGGGATGGTGGGAGAAAGCATTGTCAGGGTAGTCTTGGAACTCACCAAGGTGGCAAGAATCACCATGATGATGGGTTATGCCATGATGGGACATGCCGTGACGGTGGGACACACCATGGCGATGGGACACACTGTGGTGATGGGACTTGTGGTGGCGTTGGACTCCACTATGGCTTGGCCTATGGTGTGGGGTTGATGAGCTGGGGTGAGAGAGCGCATCCAAATCACTGGTATTTTGAGCCTTTTCAGCCATCGAAGGTTGCTGCATGGCTCTGCTGGGAACCCTGGAACAAAAATAGCTCAAGACGTGGGCCCAATAGGCCTCTTCCTGGATTGCCCCTCTCACCTAAGCTGTGGCAGTGGGGCTTCTAGGAAAGCCTGACTCTTCCCATGGAATTCTCCCCTCTATGATGTCACCAGCAGGCCCCCTCCCAGGCCTAATTCTCGAATGTCTCCTACTCGGCAATAGTTCAGAATCAAGGATCATCATGTCTAACCTCTTCAATGTAAAAATAGGAAACCGAGGTTAAGAGAAGGGAAGAGAATGGTCCAAGGTGACCTAGCAGGTCAGTGGCAAAGCTGGACAAAGACATTCAGGATGACACCACAGGCCCTAGCAAGTTGCTTAGCCTTGTTGTTGGAAAGAACTTTAAAAGGCCGAGTGGTCCAATCCCTAGTCCCACCTAGATACCAGTTGGCTCTGGTTTTCAAACTGCCTGACTCCACTGTAAGTAGGTGTGTGATCTTGGTTTAGTTGCTTAATCTTCTTGTGCCTCAGTTTCTTCCTCAGTAAAATGGGGATAATAACACTTACCTCATAGGATCACAAAGTTAAGACATGTAGGGGAGGCCGGTTGGTTCAGGTGGTTAGAGAGTGGGCTCATAACACCAAGGTTGTCAGTTCAATTCCCACATGGGCCAGTGAGCTGCGCCTTCCACAACTAGATTGAAGACAATGGCTTGACTTGGAGCTGAGCTGCTGGTGAGCTGCTGGTGGGCAGCCAGTTGGCTTACTTGGTTAGAGCGCGGTGCTTGTAACACCAAGGTTGCCGGTTCAATTCCCACATGGGTCAGTGAATTGTGCCCTCCACAACTAGATTGAAAATAATGACCTGTCTTGGAGTTGATGAGTCTTGGAAAAACACACTGTTTCCCAATAAAGTTTAAAATTAAAAAAAAAAAAGAAAAGGTAAAAGGTAAGACATGTAAAGCTTATACTAACAGCACAATGCATGTTAATTTATATTATTATTCTCTCCTTTATCGTTGAGAATGATGGAACCCTCTCTTGTGTTACTACTAAAATAAAACTATCAGCCATTATTTTATTTTATCTACTTTTATTAGTTTCAGGGGTACACAACAATGTAATAATTAGACATTTACACACCTCAAAAAGTGATAACCGGGCCAGCCGAGTGGCGCGATGGTTAAGAACTGGCTTGGGACGCCAGAGGGCCCCGGTTCAGATCCCACATATGAGGGCCAGTGACACAGCCGTCCACAGCTAAGATGCTGAACAACAGCTCAACCTGGAGCTGGGCTGCCGTGAGTCGCTGGCGTAGGCTGCAGCCCCTGTGGCAGTGAGTTGCCATGAGCTACCGTATGTAGCCAGCAGCCAGCGTGAGCGGCCAGCAGCCACAGTGAGTGGCCGTCCAGAAGCCGGCGACTGATCTGCCTCGCCCGGGAAGAGCGCAATGATGGTGCCAACTTGGGCCAGTGAAGCAACGTCCTCCACAACTAGACTGAAGAACAAAACGACAGCAACTTGTCTGTTCCCCTTCTCCAATTCCCCAGCACTGCTCCCATCCCCCCAATTCCCCAATAAAAATCTTAAAAAAAAAACAGTGATAACCCTCCCCCAAGGGCCATTATTTATTGAGGACCTACTTTATGCAATTTTAACTTAATCCTTACAACAACCGCACATGAGAGATATTATTATGCCCATTTTACAAAAGAAGGTGCCATGGCTCAGAGAGTATACATGAGTAGCTTGATGAATAAGAACTTAAAATCAGCACTAACTTTAGTCTATCATCTTAGCCACCATGCCGTCCTGTCTTCCTGCTGAAATCCACTGCAAACCTTTCGCTGTACACCAAATTCATTTGTGCCAGTGCAGCTCTTCTGGAAGCTTAGAGGTCGCTCCTTTGATTACAGTACCTTCCTGAGTCCTTGGTCACAGCCATGTCCACAGTGGCATTGGATCCGGGTACTCAGTGATAAAAGAGACACCTCCTCTAACCTCAAGATGCTCAGTGTCTGTTACCAGCAGCAGAAAAGGAAAGAGTTTGTGGTAGAACTGCTAGTTGTTCCACAAATCCATTTTTCTCTTCTTCCTGGGCATATGGCCTCACAACTGGAGATTACATTTCCACGGAGGTGTGGCCATAGTGTAAGAGCAGAAGCAATGAGAGAACTTCCAGGTCTTGGGTTGAAAGCACTGGGCACGTGAACCTCTGTTGTCCCCTTTCCTGTGAGCTGGCATGCAGATCCGACAGGCAGACAGGATCGACACTCTAGAGCAGAGTTTTCAACTAGGGTTCTGTGAACTACGGAATTGGCTTTGAGATGTTTCTAGGCCAGGAATTCTCTACTGTCATTGAAAAAAAAAAAGCATTGTCTTTGATTATGTGCTGTGTGAGGCCAGTGCAACTTTCAGTGGTTGACAGTAACTGAGCAGTCTCAGAAGCTGTTCGAGGCCCTGTCTGGCAGTGCACAGTGGGACTGTGTCATTGTTGAGTCCTTTCTCAGTTTTCAACGTGAGATCAGGAAGTCTGTTGACCATTTGTGAACATGCGTTGGCTGGAGAGGAGGAGGTAGGACTGATGACATCAGCCTCACCCTCCTGAAGTACCTCCCCCCACATCCCCTTGTGCACTGATGACTGACAAACTCTGGTGTGATAGAAAAGAAGAGGAACTTTCTTGCTAAAGAAATAATTTCTACATGCTGTGACTCAGCTGCCTCCCTGCCACTTTGCTGTTGATGTAAACACTATAAAACATGAATCATGCATTCTAGAAGTGAATTTCAGCATAGCTTCCTGTTTTTTGCAAGTTTCTTATTTATTTATTATACCCTTCTATTGTATATATTATTAGCATTCGTGTTTTACAAATGTGTCTAATGGTCCACTGTGGTGATTTTTTTGGTTTGTTTTTTTAGCTGAGCCATCCTGCCACCTGTTGGCAGCTCAGTGGCTGCTCAGCTCAGGCCGGGACTCAAACCACTGTTGCTCAGAGCTCAAACTCTTGAGCAAGCTCTTAACCAACTGAGCCACTCGGCCGGCTTGGTGATTTTTTATTATGAGGTGTGAAATGAAAGAGGAGGAGGTAGGACTGGCAGGGTTAGTGATAAAGAATTACAATTTACAAATGTAGCAATAGCTTCATAGCAAAATTGAAAAGAGCTACAAATCATGGCCATTTGACAAGTGAATGCACTAATTTTTATCTATTGGTATCTCAAAACAAATAGACAAGGGCTTTTATTTTAAAGGTCACATTCAGTAAAAAGGCTCAAAAAGCAAGTTATTCTATCAGAACCTATTGTCCAGAAAAGAGAGCCTAATAATGCCAACATATAAAATTATCATGCTAGTCCAAAGTGCCAAAAGTGAAAAGGTTCTACTCTCAGAGAGAACCATTGCTTGATGTATTGATGACATGTCTCAGGATTCTGAAGAGCCTTTTGGTTTTTTGGGGGTTTTTTTGTGGGGAGTAATAAACTAGAAAACAACAGCTTCTTTATCCAGGCTGATGAGTCAACAGATTTCACTGATAAATCAATGCCATGCACTTGAAAGATTTGTAAGTGATGCTGATAATCTAATCTAGATAATTTTTCCTGATGCAAACAGCTTTCATAAACAAACAAATGGCCAAGCTATATTTAATGTTTTCTTCATATCTGGACTCAAGAGGTCTGTCTTGGAAGACTTGTCTTGGCATTTGAACTCGTGGTTTTCCTGAGAGCTGGCTCTGTAAGACTTTTTTTCACTGCTCTTGTGAAAAAACAAAACCAACAAATAAAAACTTGATGTTGTCACACACACTACATTCTTCACAGACAGGTGCTGGTGTCAAAGACTCTTGGGGATGAAAAAAAAATGATGCTGCAGAATGATTAACTTTATAAAACAAACTCTGGTTTATTTGAGAGTATTTAAAAAACTGTGTGGCTATGTACCAAAAGAATTGAAAGCAGCGACTTGAACACATATCTGTCTACCCATTTCCATAGCAGCATTATTCACAATAGCCAAAAGGTGGATGGATAAACAAAATGTGCTCTATATATACGAGTACAATAGCATATTATTCAGCCTTAAAAAGGAGGGAAACTCTGACAACATACTACAACATAGATGAACCCTGAAGACATTATGCTAAATGAAATAAGCCAGACACAAAAAGATAAATATTGTATGCTTCCACTTAAATGAGGTACCCGGAATAGTCAAATTCATAGAGACAGAAAGTTGAATAATGGTTACCAAGGGCTATGGGGAGAGAATATTGGGGAGTTAGTGTTTAATGGGCACAGAGTTTCAGTCTGGGGTGATGAAAAACTGCTGGAGATAGATGGTGGTGATGGTTACACAACATTGTGAGTACAGTGTCCCTGAATCATACACTTAAAAATGACTAAAATGGGGCTGGGCGAGTGACGCATTGGTTAGAAGTTTGCTTGGGACGCCAGCTCTGAGCAGCAGGGCCCTGGCTCGGATCCCACATGAGGGCCAGTGACGCTGCGCCCTCTACAGCTAAGATGGTGAACAACTGCTCGACCTGGAGCTGGGCTGCCGTGAGTCGTCAGTGACGGCGTAGGCTGCAGTGGGGCTGGCTGGCAGTGGG